TATTCTCAGAGTGTTGTTATTAATTATACTTGGGGTTGCATGTCAGCTTCTATTATCCTTTCTATTCTTTCATTGTTTCCTTCTGTTGCTTTGTTGGTGTGGTCTGTCTTCTGCTCCCGGAGGAATAGCAACATGCTGTATCTGCATCTGCAGCAGCCCGTATCTTACTGTGCTCCTGGCTGCTAGAGGCCGCAGGCCACTTAAAGCAGTGACCTCTGTGCCCATCTAGAATGTCCCTTAGTGTGAGTCTGTTGGCAAAGAACTCTCCATTCTTGTTTGTCTGAAAATACCTTTACTTTACCTTGATTCTTTAAATACTGTATGTTTTTTCCAGGTTTAGAATTCTAGGTTGCCAGTCATTTCTTTTTTCTTTCTTTTTTTTTAAGATTTTATTTATTTATTTGACAGAGAGAGACACAGCGAGAGAGGGAACACAAGCAGGGGGAGTGGGAGAGGGAGAAGCAGGCTTCCCGCGGCGCAGGGAGCCCGATGCGGGGCTCGATCGATCCCAGAACCCTGGGACCATGACCTGAGCTGAAGGCAGACGCTTAACAACTGAGCCACCCAGGCGCCCCCTGCCCCAGTTTTTAATTTTGGTGATTTGCTTTTCATCTCTAGGATTCTGTTTGATTTTCCTGTCTGCTCTTTATGTTCACTTATCATTTCCTGTCTCCTGCAGATTTTCAAGTAGGTTTATTCTTTTTTTTTTTTTTTTTTTTAAAGATTTTATTTTTATTTACTTGAGAGAGAGAGAGAGAGAATGGGAGAAAGCACGAGAGGGAAGAGGGTCAGAGGGAGAAGCAGACTCCCTGCTGAGCAGGGAGCCCGATGCGGGACTCGATCCCGGGACTCCAGGATCATGACCTGAGCCGAAGGCAGTCGCCTAACCAACTGAGCCACCCAGGCGCCCAAGTAGGTTTATTCTTTATTTTGTATTTATTTTTTTTAAAGATTTTATTTATTTATTCGAGCGAGAGAATGAATGGTGGGGACAGGCAGAGGGAGAGAGAGAAGCAGATTCTCCCGCTGAGCAGGGAGCCCAATGTGGGGCTTGATCCCAGGACCCTGGGATCATGACCCGAGCCGAAGGCAGACGCTTAACAACTGAGCCACATGGGCACCCTGTTTATTTTTCTTTAAACAAAGTAAGCCAGGGGTGTTTTTTGATCAATATCTAATACTTCTAATATGTGAAGTCTAGATGGACCTATAATGTTTACTTCTGCTGCATCTCACTCATAGTGCCTTGTTTTCTTGTGTACTTGGTTAGCTTTTACCATCGCTGCTTTGTAAAATAATTGTGTAGATCTCCTCAGACATAAAATGAAGGTGTCTTCCTCTAGGGAGGACTGACATTTATTTCTGCCTGGGACTTAGGAGTACTGCCTGTGACTTTAAATTCATGCCTTGAGGCTTCATAGACCACCCCTAGGATACAGTTTGGGCTGCACATCCTCGAGAGCCAGTGTTTACACTCCCTCCGGGGTGGGTGTATTTTCCTGGTTCTGCTCTGCACCATGGCAATGCAGCCTACAGCCGTTTGAGTTGTTGGTAAGGAGGGCAGCTTTATTTCTGGTTTGCCTTTATCCTGAGGTGTTAGCCCTTTGGGGTCACAGCTTAATGTCCTATGAGACTTCTCACTTTTGGTGGGCCCTGGATTTTTGATTTTGCCTTTTTCACCCTGTGAGCTCCCAAAACCCCTGCTCGCGTTTTCACAGCTTGGCTTATTTGGAGAGGTAGATGCCACAGGGGGAAAAGTGACCTTGGAGATTCTGATGCTCTCTCCTTGCTGCTTCTTAGAATTTGGCCTGGAAGTTCTGTACTGTCTTGTGGTTCTTTGATGCTTCTATGCAGATTAAAAAAATGTATTTATCCCAGCATTTTAAAATAAACTTTTTATTTTAGTATATTTATAGACATATGGAAAAATGAGCACATGGCACAGAAGGTTCCTATATACCCCGTTTCCAACTTTCCCTATTTTAACATTTCACAATAATATAGTACATTTGTCACAGTACTTATATATTATTATAAACCAGTATTTATGTTATTAACTAAAGTTCATAGTTCATTCAGACTTCTTAGATTTTGCCTCTCTCTGTTCCAGGATCCCATCCAGGATCCCATATTACATTTTGTTGTCATGTGTCCTTAGGCTCCTCTTGGCTGTGATAGTGTGTCAGATTTTCCTTGTTTTTGATGACCTCAGCAGTTTTAAGGAGTACCGGTCGGGTATTTTGCAGATTGTCTTTGGAATTTGTCAGATATTTTCTCTTTGATTAGACTGAGGTTATGTGTTGTGGGGAGGAAGACCACAGGTAAAATGCCACTCTCGTCACTTCGTCTCAGGGTACATGCTCTCAGAATGACCTCAGTTGGCTGAGGTAGCGTCTGCAGGTGTCTCTGCTGTGGGTCACTTTCCCCAGCCACGCTGACATGTCCTCTAGGGGAGGAGGCCGCTGGGCACCGCTGAGACTTACCCACGGGAGTTATGGTTCACCTCCATGAGGGCAGAATTATCTATAGAAATTATCTGGATTTCTTCTGCATGGAAGATTTCTAGTCTCTCCTGTTTATGTCAGGATAGACTCGTGGGTATTTATTTCATACCTTGGATTATAATCCAGTATGCCATGATTTTGTTGCTGAAATTGTTTCAGTTTTGGCCATTCAGAGCCTGATTTTCAGTTGGCTCCTCTGACCCTTCGACATACCCCATCGTTGATCATTGGTTTTTTGTTTGTTTGGTACTTCTGGACTTCTTGACACTAGTGATCTTCAGGCACGTGTTGTACATTTTCTGCCCTTGCCCTAGACCCTGCCATTTCTATAAGGAGATTTGATCTCTTTCACTGGAGAACCATGTGAGAAACCTGGGCCTAAGTACGCTCATGGCTGCTGCAGTGTCCTTGCTTCTTGGTCCCCCCAGTTGACGGTGCGGGGAAGTACATGGTGTATGTGCTCTGTATGTACTGTGCTCACACACCATACACACTAGGTACACATACCATGTGTGTAGGTGTGTGTTAGGTGTACATACACCTAACTAGAAATATTTTTTTTTTTTAATTTTATTTGTCAGAGCGAGAGCAGGAACACAAGCAGGGGGAGTGGGAGAGGGAGAAGCAGGCTTCCCGCTGAGCAGGAAGCCTCACGTGGGGCTCGATCCCAGAACCCTGGGATCATGATCTGAGCAGAAGGCAGACGCTTAACGACAGAGCCACCCAGGCGCCCTGAAATATTTCTATATAGGATCACCTCTATCAGTATTAAATGAAATATTAACTTGTGCTGGCATCTTCAACTGTAATTCATTACATGAATCATTCTAGCCTTCTCCCCTTGCTTATCTGTAACCTCCCACTCCAACAGTGAGAACAGTGGCTCCCAACATCCACCCTGTTATCAGTCTTATCAGTTACTCTCAGCAACCATCATTACTGGAAACTGTTAACTTCCTCCTGTTTTTAAAAAATGAATGATAGAGTATCAGACAAGACTGTTCTGCACCTGAATGTTTCACTGGCAGACATCATCGACTGCGCATCATTCCTTGCTGGTTCACACAGATCTACCTTGTGTTTTTTGAAGCCTGCCTAATATTCCATGGTATTAATGCTCTTAGTTTATTCAACATCTTGCCTGTCGATAGGCATCTGGGCTATTTCCAGTTTTTGGCTATATCATCCTACAGCAGGATTATGTTGCTTCTGTGAACACGTGGGAGGATTTCACTAAAGTGAAGTGCTTGATCAAGGGGTGTGGATGTTTAAAAACCTGAGTGATTTGTCACGTTGCCCTCCAAAGGCTGGGCCAGTTGATAGGCTCACCATCAGCATGAATATGGTTTTCTGATGGCACTGCAAGGGAGAGATAAATATCCGTCAAGCCTTCGATTTCTGCCAATCATGTGAAAGGAATTCGCTTTTTGTCAAAGGCACAGCAAATCTATTTTTTCCTAACTCAAGAGAGGGGTATTTTGTTCCAAATGTTTACCTTTTTACATAGTCAATTTATTCCTTTTCTCCTGGGATTTTGTGTCCTGCTTGGAAAGGCTTGTCTGTCATCTTCCATGTTCTCTCCTAATACTTTTATGGTGTTCTTAAAAAAGCCCCAAGCATGCAAACAGGCCTAACAACACCCACACATGTAACACTGAAGTGACTTTTTTTTTTTTTGAACTTTGTATACACCACACCTGGTTTCCACTGTGCAGGGAGATTTCTGTCGTTATTTACATTTCCAATTTACTCATTTTCATTGCTGCCGAGTGATCTAAATCTGTCTCAAAGGCCACATACCTGTTTTCCTGCTGCTTTTTGGTCACTTCGGTTGTTCCGATGCTTTTATAAGCATGCTGGTGTGACTCTGCCAGCACACGCGAGGGGTTCTCTAAGGTGGTGCAGGCGTGGGCCTGCTGGGCTGTATGGTGAGGGCATGCAGAAACCTAGAGGTACTTACTTGTTCTGCCGCGTAGCGCAGAGGGTGGTTCTCCACTTCCTTGGTGTCACACGGCCCATTTGTCAGCTGATGGGCACAAACGCTCTCAGATCTGGCTGGTGGGGCTGTACATCTTTTATTTATAAGCCATTCACATTTTCGTCTGGGTCACTTAGCCATTTTCCTTTTGGGGTATAGTTTCATTTTTCAAATTTTCTGATGCATTTGCAGTTGATTGGGCATAAAGGGGATACAACTGTGTTTTTCAAGATGACCAACAACATAGCGAATACCCCCTTTCACCTACTAAGCTGAGATACCACCTTTCTCACACCGTGCATTTAACTGGAGCTTTATGTGGGAGGGTTTGCTGCACTTGCTATTCTTTTTCTTTTGTTCATGTTTGACTAAAATGTCTGCTGGTAGTTTCATTTATCATTAATAAATAACCTATTACCTCAAGATGTCCATTCCCCCTGAATTATTAAAACTTTCCTAAGAACAAGATATTACCATCGATCTAATAAAGGCTCTTGGGGCTTTCTGTTCCCTCGCAGGCATCGTCCCACCGGTTGCTGGATGGCGGGGACTGTCGACAGTGAAGAGTGCTGGGCACTAGCGAACGGTGAGTGGGATTCTGGTCGTGTCAATACTTTTGGTTCATTTTTCAGTGGGCTATTAAATGGGAATTATGGAGACTGCTTTTTCTTTACATCAAGAATGGATGTTAGTTGATCAGATTTTTATCAAATATTTCCTCCATCTCTGTAGTTGCTAGGACTTGTGTTTTTTGTCATTAGGTTTATAGAATCATCTATCCTTGCCTGTTTTTTTTTTAATGATAAAAGAATCATCTTCAGTAATTTGGAAAAGAGAGAAATGCCCCACACCAAACCCATGCCTGATAGATAAGCACTAAATAACCATCAAATGGAGGAATTCTGTTATCTACAACAGCCGCTCCAGTTCACTTTTATCTATTCACAGTAGGAGTGCAGAATTTTACATTTTACATCTGAACAGTATGAGAAGCATCTCTCCATCGGTACAACCTCCAAGCTGCTGACAACTTTTAAAATCTGATTCTCTCTGAAAACCCAATGACAAGCCACTCAGCTCTCCCCACTTGAGTCGTGTGACACACGAGCAGACCTTGTCCCCATAAAGTCTAAGACCTTCCCCCCACCAGAAGGTAAAAACACTTCGGGGTGCGGGGCTGGAGGCGCTCAGTGCCCACCACCCACCCCTCCCGCCGGAGAACAGTCAGCACCACACTGTGAACTTATCGTAGAATAGATTTATTTACCTGAAACCATGTCTGTGCAATGCTTGTTGTTACCAGCACAGAGATAGACAACTGATCTCTATTTACAGTCTAAAGTCAAACATGCGTTGTGATAATTAAAGTTTAGCATTTTATTAAGATAAATGCATCACAATATTCGTATTGCACCAACATCTGTCTACTGCTTCTGATTTCATTAAATAAGTTACATTTAATACAGTGCAAAATAGCTGTTTGCACACTCAAAAAAATAACAAGTTATGAACTGGAGGCCTACATTCTAACCTTTCAACACCTGTAGTGTTTTCAATAGATTTATAAATAAGCAAACTGTACAGGGCCAATTAAAAAGTAGCATGTTTAAATGACACCATAGCGAAATCTGGCTACTTACAACTGAAGGCATGCATTACAATTGAATATGGTACATTTATATAAGCTATGACATTTTGCACAGAGAAACATGGAGACTTGGCTGATGGCTTCTAAGTTCTTAGATAAGGTTTCAGAACCTCATTTTTCTTGCAGCAAAGAAACCAAAGTTCTCTGGAGAGGCTTTCTGATTCATTAAGCTAAATTGTACATTTGTAATTATTATTTTGATTTAAAAGCTAAACCCCGTTGGTAATACACGTTTCCTCCACATAACACACAATGAGTTGGGGACTTTTTTTTCTACTTTTCTTTTTCCCCCAACATCAATCATGCAGAGGGCTGGCAGATGTGTTGCTAAAAACGCACATGCACGCAACCGAACACCCTTATATTTCTGCAAAATGGTTTAGGAAGCGGTTACTCCAGTATTGCTGAAAAGGAAAGAGAGAGGAAATCAGCTTTAGGAAATATGGGAAATGTTAGAATAACTATTTAAGATTAATAGTGACAAGGAATAGTGAGAAGGAATATTCAGTTTGACCTTTTAAGATTTCAAGACCAGCATTTCTAATTAACTGTCCCCGAGGCGCTGCCTGCATAGGGTAGCAGCTAGCAGCACTGGCTTGGCAACACGGGCCCTTCCTGTCCCCCTGGCTCACAGAACCCCAACAGGCAGACGTGTAATCGCTTCCGATGTAACGGAAGGGAGACGGGCAAGAGGAGGGAAGTTCCTGTTAGCAGTGCGGGTGGTAAGGAAGGTGCAGCAGAGAGGAGCAGTGTGGCCCAGTGCGAAGCCTCGGGCTCCTCCCTTCCCCTTCCCCTCCCTCCCCAGGGGCCTAGCCCTGCCTGGTCCTAGCAGGGGAGCTGCGGTCCTCACCCCCTTCTTTGAAGCAGGCAGGCTGGGGATTACCATCACTGTTAGCTGCGCGGTGGTGGCTTTGACAAAACTGGTGGTGACATTAAAAGGGCTACCTTAGCCCACGGGCACTGCAGACACTGAGCTAGTGCTTGTGGTCTCCTATTCCTGAGGTCTGCCACCTCCAGGACATTCAGGGGGCCAAGGCCCGGTCTGAGGGTGGCAGGGTAGCAGCTGCTTGGGGGGGGGGGAGGGCGCAGGGGCTGGCGCTGGCCTTGCTTGTTTGGGAGCTCACGTAGCTCGCTCTGTACCACGTGCCACCCGTGCTGTGCAGATGAAGAGTGAGCCGCTGGAGTGGGATCCCAGCTGGGGGACGTGTGAGATAGCCATCTTCCAGGCAAAGCCCTATCAAAGAAGCTGTGCAAGGCCTACCTGCCCGTCGGTGAGGACATGAACAAGTTTTGGTGAGTCTGAACACGACACCGCCCTGTCTAGTCCTGATGGCGGCAAAAGCAGAGGCCGCCTGTGCCTTCCTGCAGGTGCTGGGTGAGGCTAGGTCTGGGCACTGTCTGCGCAGTGCAGGAGGCCTGAGGCCAGGGATGTGCCCCCAGCAGTACAGGGGCTCATGTGGGCCTGTTTCTCAGCAGCAGAGCCTGGAGCAGAGCTGACAAGGGGATGCTCCCAGCGGCCCGGGCTGAGGGAAGGGGGTGCCTAAACCACCTCTATGGGCCGAGACAGGCCTGAAGCTGGGAAACCACAAGACAAGAGCCGGCCCAGGCCCAGTTGGGGCTGTGCACGTCTCTGACAGCAGCAAACCCCATTCAGCTTCTTTTGTAAAGGCCACTACAAGGAACCAGATCAGGAAAAGTTGACTGGTAAGTCTGGTTTCCACTGAATAGCACACCAGCAAGCTCAGACATCCTGTCTTGGTTTGCAGCCAAGGTGCACTCCTTGCATTTGACCACTCACCCTGCTTCTTTTTACGCCAAAATCGGCAAAACCTACCCTCCTCCCCCCTATATTCTCTGCCAAACAAACCAACCTCCCTTCCTCAGAGACCTCGATGAGTCAGGCCGGGACTTCCATCCCCTTATACTCAGACCTGGGAAGTTAGCAGCACCTTGCCCTGCTTAGTATCCATTAACTTTTCCCCCAACACTGAGCCTTTATAGCACATCTTGGGGCCGGCCCCAGTACCTTCACAAGAACAGTCAGGGCCTCACAGGGAAGGAGCTGCTGCCTAGGCCTCCTTCACCCTGGCTCATGACCGGTTGGCTGGTTGCTAGCAGAGCCATGCCCTACTAACTGTGCTTTCTCATACTCTGGAGACAGAGAAGACAAGTCTCAGCTGCAAAGGATATTACCCAGAAGGTGAAAAAAGGTGGCCACCTATTTGAGACAAACCTATGGATATATGAATTCACTGCTCAATTATGTGCTTTCACTAGGTTTTTACTTGTTAACAAACATGGTAGGAAGGCTCGGGGAGGAGTCCTTGCAGCTAAACACCAGAGAACCATGAATTTTTGAGACGCCTCGTCTCGGCATTAACAAAGGCAGCATTCCCTCAGCCTGTCAGTCGGACCCAAGCAAAACGAGTTTCTCTCCCACCAGGCCCTCCTCAACATCTGGCTGAGCCACTGTCCAAGGCCATGCACGGAGTCTGCAGGCATCTAACCCACCCCACGTGTGCACAGGTACCAGGCATCGTACGCTTGCTGCTCTTGGAGACACACAGCACAGCAGTACATGACATGGGATGTTTTCGTTAGTGTCACAGCTAGCTCGCTCAGTGGCAGTCACCTTTAGGCTAAAGCATCAGGATTCCAGGGAATACTCACGTTAGTTGATGGATGTTGGAAGGCATTGGAGGAAAACACCATAGTTAGGACAGTTAATGACTTACACACGGTTGGTAAGACTGATCTCGAACATGCGCAAACATTTATCATAGTAACCATGGTGTTGGTTAGTGCCACATTCAAATAAAAATAGTTCTATACATATGTTCATTTGGTCATGTGCTATTTACAGATTTTTACAAAAACACATACACACACACACACCCCCACAAACACACACACAATCCCCCTTATATTCTCTACACCAGGCTAAAACAGGCCAGCAGAAACTTGCAAAAAGGTATCATGGGTGACAACAGGTGCCTATGTATTAATTCCTACAGCTACCTTTGCAGCAGAACACAATCCTCCTTCCCCTCGAGCACAGTAAAACTCAAGTTCTGAGCTAAGAACTTACTTAAGAGAAAATTGGACACATCTGTTTGATAGTTCAAGCTAAGCCACTTAAAAGTTAAAAACAAGACAGTTATTTTTCTGTCCATTTAAAATGTTTTATTTTCCTTTTTAAACTAGATTGTGAAGTGCCACTGAAATAGGCAATGTTGGCAAAACAATGTCTGTTACAATAAAATACATTAGACATTTAAATAAATAACCTTAAAAACTATGTGGGGGGACATGAACCCAGTCGATTGAATCTGGAACAATGTTTTCTGCACAAGCGAGAACAGGCATACCTCTTGTTAAGACTGATGTAAACAGAACCATCGGAACCCTACAGGAGAAGCAGCCGAGCAGGGCCAGGAGTGGGGGTGGGAGTGAACGGGGGTCGGGGGGGTGAGGGGAGTGGCAAACCAAAAAATACTGACTGAGGTAGCAGTACTCTGCTCAGTGCAGAAAAATTGGCTTATGAATAAAAATTAGACTGTGATCTCAGATTAAATCCAGATGATCATGCAAAAGACACAATACATGCTATTTAGTTTTAGAAAAAAAACCACACACATTCATTTCCTAAAATCTGCTGCCAATTAATTTGCTGACAATGTCTGCTGGCTCAACTATTTTTTTTATACAAGGATGAGTTATTAAACAGAACACTGTACATGCTTTTTCATCTACAAAAAAATATTTGCATAAAATAGTGTTAGTTCTCTGTACATGTCAATGGACACTTTAATTATGTGTATAAAAAAGGAAAATCTTGCCCCACTGGAGTCAGAAAAGCAAAACAAAATCTAGAGTATGAAATCTCCTTCACCAGCCAATATGTTCATGTGAAAATTCAGCAGAAATAGACAGTTGCTTTAAACAATAAAAAAATTAATTGATTAAGTTAAACATCTTCTTTATGTAAAACTGTCAGTCAAGACCAAAACATATCACTAAAGTTAGTGTCTGTGCTATAGACCCAGATCACCAGGGGCATTATGAGCAGCACAAACGGCCAGGAAATCCCATCGGTGCATGCCGAGAACGAGCAGGATTTGGTGGCAGGCTGCACACACTCTTTACCAGGTTCCAGGTAGTTGCGGGCCACAAACTTGAGTGTCTCGTCCATTAGAATCACAGGCAAGGAGATTTTCAGCACCATCAGCCACTGGGTCAAATTCAGCGGTGTGATCTGGAAAATAAGCTGAAATACAAAGAAGCTCTGTCAAGTTCCCAGACTTGCAGGACAGGCAGCGAGTCCCCAGCCTCGGTCCTGGTCCCCCCAGCGCTTACTGGCAAAGGTTCCACGTAGAGGATGAGGAAGTGAAGCGACATGGACAGGCAAATGGAGCCCACGAGCCAGATGTTCTCCCAAGGGGGCATCCTCAGCAGGGACTGGTTTTCAGACAAGCTGCAGAACAACGAGAGGTACATGAAATATGCCCACCTGAAAGGCAAAGGCCCTTGTAACGAGTGACCAAGACCATTCAGAACTATGCTTCAGTAAGGCAGTGGCCTACCTGGCATTGCCCACTGACCTAATTCTACTTAGTAAAGTTTCTATTGTGGCAAAGTTAAAGGAAGAATGTTCAGATGTAGGACAAACTTCCAATTTTAAATCTAGGCTTCAGCACAGCAGACTCCATTTCAATGGACTCAAAGCTGCTCTCAGTTGCCCTTGACACTGATGCTATTTTGAAATTTCCATTTTTGTCATTGGCTTAATTGGATGATACCATTTGTTTCACTGCTAAAGGGCAAGAGTGCCTTCCCTGTGGGCAATGGCATACAGGGGCACCAGAGGCCCTATTTTTGGCCCCTGCTGTCTCATAAGGAACATGTGGTTAAGCACTCCCACTACTTCCCGGAGGTGATGACGACTGAAGCTTTTAAAACCGGTGCTGCTTGTTCTCCTTTCTTTCTGGGAGGGAGGAGCTTTCCTGCAAACCTCCAACAACCACGACACCCAGTTCCCCGGTGTGCTGGCTGGCGGAGCTCTTGCCCCAGCTTGTCAAGGACTCACTGACCTGTTGAGGGCGTTACACATCTCTATGGTTACTAGAACAGAAAGCGCCATTGTCATCGGGTATGGGGACTCAAAGATTGCACAATCCACTCCTTCAAAGTCCGGGTTGTCATCTTTACACTGTAGGAAGTGGCTCTGCAACAAATGCCCAATCAAGTTCTTCATCAGCCAAGTACATTTCCAAGGTCCATGTCCCCGTTCCACAGGAAGCCCAGGACACAGACCCACACAAGATCTCCCCCCATCTCCCAGAGAAGCCCTGGTCCTTCAGAATCCTCTTAGAGGCCACTGCTAATTATTTGAGGGTTAAGATTATTTGGTAGCCACCCAAACCACAAAACGCTCAAGGACAACCTTTTAATGCTTTGCCTCTGAGGCAGAAGAGAAAAGGCAGATACATACCAGCTGGTAGAAGGACACTCTTGGCCCTCCGTCGGCAGCAATGAACCACCACGCAGCAGCACCCACAGTAGCAGCGCCAACGTAACCTGGGAAGAGACACAGGCGGGGTTTGCAGCCCACAGCTTTCACTGCAGGTCCTGCCTCGCGGGCCAGTGTCCAGCAGAGAGGAGACAGGGTAGGACGATGGTACAGGAGGGCCTGTGCTGCCACTAGCAAGTGCTCCCTCCCACCGGCCAAAGCAGCTAGACGGGCGCTTTCTGTAAGGAGAGGGGTGTGTGCAGTACAGAAAAACTAGGCAACTTGTCTTCCAGAGTATGGGAGGAAGAGCACCTACTGGAATTGGCTGGACTTTTACGCTAGCCAAGCCCCTCGAACTGGAGGCTAATGTTCTACAGCTGCAGGTACGTGTCCTCCACATAGCGCCTCACTGTGCAGCAGGGCCAGATCACACCCCCAGGACTTTTAGGAAAACTGATGCTCCCAGTTGGACACTTACTTGCTCCGAAGGCCTGGCAGAACCGTTGTGTGGAAATGCCGCCAGAGCGGTTAGTGCAGAACGCAAGCGACACGGCAAAGCCCAAAGCCGATTCTGGGACCACCTCTCCCGCCCCCCCTGCCCCCAACCAAATAGTTCTGAATTGAGCAAGATTATTACAAAGCAATAGGGTCCTGGAGAACACAGGGACAGCACAAAGACGGTCCCAGTGCGGCAGCATCTACCAGAAGATACAAGCACACACTCCCTCGAAGTCAGCAATCACTAGGGGATAGGAGACAGCTGGTGGACAGGGACGGGGCAGTCACACACGTACTGACGTGGCGATTCCCAACAAATAGGGCGAAATGCAGGGTTTAGCACATGTGTGTATTGCACACCAACACTTCGGAAAAATATATGCACAGGATAGATCTATTTGCTAGAGTATTTCTGGAAGGCACAAGAGAAATTCAGTATCGGAGGGGAACTGACTGGCTGAGAGCTTTCTCACTTTATGGCACTGTGTGCTTCTGGAATTTTAAATCATGTGAACATACTAAAAAAAGCAAACAAAAAAACCACCTTCCTATTGAACCCCAGGGCAGTTATTTTAACTCTCTGGCCTCACTTTCCTAAGCCCTAAAGTGAGGACAAGACCTGACAGCCGGGCGGGAGCAGGAGGGCCACAGTGGTTCCCACGCACTGCAGATGAATGCACAGCTCCTGCCTCTACTTTAGGGGGAGGGGGGCTTAGTTTCATAGCTTGGTGATGGAAGGCCTGACCCTTACTCACCCCTGTATCCTTTTGCCCTTAGGTTAAATCTGAAAACCTCATTCACAAAGGCCCAAGGAATGACAGGGATAACTAAAACAAGGGACCAACTTTCCTGTAAACTGGGTATATAGTTTATTAAACTCCATCTTTTGTTACCCTAATACAGGGATAGAAAAGAAAAAATGTGCTTTTAAAGAATGAATTTACAAAAATGTTGGCTCATGAATGTTTTGTTTCAAAGTCAACGATATAAAAACTATACTCACAGCCAATGGCCAGATAACGGAAAAAGAGCCATCCGCTGATCAGGGGTTCCTTCGGGTTCCGGGGTGGTTTATTCATGATGTCCAGATCGGGAGGGTTGAACCCCAGGGCAGTGGCGGGCAGGCCGTCTGTCACCAGATTGACCCAGAGCAGCTGGACAGGAATTAAAGCCTCAGGAAATCCAAGGGCTGCTGTCAGGAAGATACTGTTTCCACCCGAAGAAAGAGAAAGTTCCCAAATTATTTTGGCCACTACTTACACAGCATCAGCACCCTCTCCTCCTCCATAAAAATCAATGGACAGTAACAATGACTGCTCGAAGTAACTTTTTGTCCACCATAAAACATTTGTTATACATAATTTTGAGTTAAAGTACAATATTAGAAGGCCAAGAATTTTATGTTACTTTATGTAGTTAAACTCATTTCTATGTTCAAGGGCATGCTTTACACACGAGGGCAGCTGCAGGACAGCCCTCCCAAGGGCCGGAACAACCTCTACCTTCCTCCTTATGCACGAAGACCAAAGCTGCTGCCATATGAACCACAAATCTGGAAAACTGGTCATCCTAAGCCCTGATTTTAGACAAAGGGCTACAAGTGATCTTTCTCAGGGACCCACCAGACAACTTCCCCCACATTCGACGAGATGAGGTAGCGGATAAACTGCTTCATATTGTTGTAGATGGCCCGCCCCTCCTCCACTGCAGCCACGATGGTGGAGAAGTTGTCGTCGGCCAGGACCATCTCAGACGCCGTTTTAGCCACTGCGGTGCCAGAGCCCATGGCAATGCCGATCTCAGATTTCTTCAGGGCAGGAGCATCATTCACGCCATCCCCAGTCTGAAAGGGAATGTGAGGGCCGGTTTATGCACACCTGCCACCACCTCACACACGCACCCCCGACAAAGGCTCAGACATCCTGAAGCAAGGGAACAAATGCAGCCATGGCCCTCTGGGCACAGACACAGAGAATTTTCATTTTTACAAGGTGGCATCACAAAACACACTTCACCTGGGAAACGTAAAATTGCCCAATGAGCCGAAGAGACTTCAGAGGGAAGTGGAACAAAGAGGACTTCAAAATTCATCTGTATTTTTATGTTTGTACAAACAAAACAAAAAACCACCCACATGACAGTTAAGATGCAGCACTTGTACCCACACAGAGGAAGCTCAAGTAGAACAGGTGCAGACGGCAAAAAGATGGAAACCGTAACATGCCATTTACGAAGGTCACAAACATGCAAAAACACCAGATATCGTCTACAGATACAAAGCTATCATTCCCATGGGTGTTTTTTAAACTTTTACTGAACACCTAACATTGAATTCAGAACAGTGGCTCCCTCTGGGAAAGGAGGAGAGGAAGGGAGTTATACCTGTAATATCTGCTTTCACATAACACCTTTGTTTCTTAAAGTTTTCAAGATAAGCAAGAGAAAGCAAATATGGCACAATGTGAATGTGTCTGGGTGAAGATTCACACTAGGGGAAGAATCCTGGAAATGCCTCGCACATGGGCAGCTCTTAATGCTTGACCAGTACATCTAATTTCAGGTAGGGTTAGAGAACACAAAGGAGTTAACTGAATCAATTTTTAGAAACTTGAGATAGA